TCATATTTTTATGTAGATTAAAGAGAAGCACTTCTACTTGATCACGTGTTATTACTCTTTTTAGTCCATCTTTTGTTGGTTTGTATAATTGTGTGTTTTTAATTATGTAGTGGGTTGATAGTTGTTATATTTGTTTCTGTTGGGAGTTGTCATAATTATTTGGATATGTGAAGTCAGAGAGATATCGAATTATATTATTGTATTGTTGTTTATCCATGATCTGTTATTGATGTTGATTTGAGTAAGTTTGGTGTTTGTAATTCATTAATCCGTGATAGAGTGTCAGCGTTAGCGTTAGCCTTTCCTTTGCGATATTTTACTTCAAATTGAAATTGTTGTAAGATAATCTTCCATCAAATAATCCTTTTACTATCTTTTTTTCTTTGTTGGTTGATTTAATAACCATTGTAGAGCTGAATGGTCAGTGTAGATAGTAAACTTATTATCTTTCAAATATCTTCTAAAGTATTTTATTGCCTATACTACTGCCAATGCTTCTTGTTCAGTAATATGATAATTTTTTTCAGCCGGGCTCAGCGTGCGACTTGCATACCAAATAGGATGTTCTCTATTATCCCCATCTTTTTGTGACAATACTGCTCCTAACCCTGTTGTGCTAGCATCAGTGCTTAATACGAATGGTTGATCAAAATCAGGATAACATAGTATCGGTGCAGTTGTCAATTTTTCCTTTAATATTTCAAATATTTCTTGATGTTGTTTCGTCCAATTGTATTATACATCCTTTTTCAATAGGTCATTTAAAGGGGTTACTAATTTGGAAAAGTTTTTAACAAAGCGTCGATAATAAGAAAACAATCCTAATACAGTTCGTAATTGCCTAACATTGAATGGCGCGTTGAGATTAACAATCTTTTCAATTTTTGCTGGATCTGGTTGTATTCCTTGCTCTAAAATAACATATCCTAAAAATCAAATTTTATTATCGCAAAAATGACATTTCTCAGGGTTTATCTTCAAGTTAGCTTTTCTTAATAGGTCAAATACATGTTGAAGGTGTTGTAAGTGTTCCTCATAACTTTTGGAAAATATGATAATGTCATCCAGATATACAAGTACAAATTTTTCCTTTACATGTCGTAGTATATCATCCATGGCTCTTTGAAAGGTAGCGGGTGCATTGCACAACCCAAAAGGCATAACATTAAACTCATATAATCCATGTTTGGTAATAAATGCCATTTTAGCTTTATCCTGTTCTCTAACCTTAAACTGCCAATATCCTGAGGCTAAGTCAAGCGTTGTATATTATGTTGCTCCTCCCAAAGATTCTAATAATTCATCGATCCTTGGTAACGGGTATCGATCTTTTATGATAACATCATTCAATTTCCTGTAGTCTGCACAAAATCTTATTTTTCCATTTTTCTTCCGTACGAGAACTACTGGTGAACTCCATTGGTTTCGTGATGGTCGTATTATTTCCTGTTCTAACATACTTTTGATTTCTTGTTGAATATACTGGTCATCCTTACTTGATGTCCAATATGGCTTTAATGCAACTGGTGGTACTTCTTCAGTAAATAGACAATGTTCGTGTTGATCAAAATGTATAAATTCTTGTATGGTAGTAGCAAAACTATTAATATTTTTATAAAGGAAATCTTTTAATTTTATTATTTAATCAGTCGACAGGTTTCCACATGTAGTATATTTTCCTGTATTTTTACCAATCTCTATATGGACATCATTTTCTTCGAGTTGAACCCTATAAGTTGATTGTATTCTCATGCTATTCCTGTAATATTGGTATGTTTGAACATCTCTCATGACTTCCCTACAATTATCACATTGGCTTTCAACTTTTATTGTTTTTAGACACCAACATATAGCTGGTCCTTTCCAATTTTTGTTCTGTTGTACATTCAGTTCATATTCTAAATGTTGTAGGTATATTTCAGGATATTCCTTTCCACCGATATGCATAGCGTGTTCCTTTTCTTTAGGAATGATAGCAAAGCATCGTTGTATATCAATATCTTCATCCTCATCCTCGAATTCAAGTTCGTCCGAAGTTATTTTGGCTTTATGGATGTAAATCTTTCCAGATTTATATCTTGAGTGCAGGTTATCGGTGTCATAAAGGTTTGCTTTTCTTGTTATACTGTTAGTATACTTGTTTCAAAGTCAATTATAGCATTGACTTTTTGTAACCACGTATTTCCCAGGATAACGTTATACCCTGTAGCATTAGTTACTAACATATCTTCCTTGATTTCTATTCTATTAACTTCTACTGGCATCCCTCTGATCATTCCTATTGGTATCATGTTATTACAATTTACTCCCATCATTTTGATTTTTGCAGGTCCATCAATAGTTTTATTAATCTGTTTCAAGAATCGTTGGGTGATAATACTTCCTACAGATTCAGTATCGATTATAGCATTTACATTGTATCCATTTATTTAGCTTCGATATATAGAGCATCTTTGACTGGTTCATCCTGACTTGTGTAAATAACAACAGTCTGTTCCTTCAATTTTGTCACAAATAATTTCCCGAATTTATTATGTGTTGGTGTTAATTCATTTAATCCAGCCATCTGTAAATATTCATCGAATTCAAAGTGTTGCC